CGCGACAGAGTGAGACTCCAACTCAAAAAAAAAAAAAAAAAACAAGCAAAAGACTTGAATAAGACCTGTCCCTGAAGAAGATCTACAAAAAAGGAATAAGCATATGAAAAGACAGTCAACAAAATTAGTCTTCAGGGAAATGCAAACCAAAACCTTTAGGAGTACCACTTCACACCCACTAGGATGACTATAATCAAAAAGGCAGATACAGTAATAACAAGTGTTGTCAAGAATGTAGAGAAACTGGAACTGTAATACATAGCTAGTGGGGATGTAAAATGGGGCAGCTGCTTTGGAAAAGAGTGTGCAGTTCCTCAAGAAATTAAACATAGACTTAGCATATAACTCAGCAATTCCACTCCCAAATATATACTTGAGAAATTTTAAACATCTCTTCATACAAAAGTTTGTACACAGTCAGGATCGCTGGAGCCCAGCCGGTCGGGGCTGCAGTGGCCAGGAACACGCCACTGCACTCCAGTCTGGGTGACAGAGTGAGACTCCAACTCAAAAAAAAAAAAAAGAGAGAGAAAAGTAAAAGAAATACCTGCCTATTTGTTTGCCAGGATGATTAGATCTATCAGTGCTTGCTATCTATAAGTGTTTTCCTTCTCTAGTGGAGATCTCTTAGAAGTAGTGGCTGGCCGGGCTCATGCCTATAATCCCAGCATTTTGGGAACCAAGGTGAGAGGATTGCCTGAGCCCACAGGGTCAACTTGGTGAGACCTCATCTCTACAATAAATAAAAAAATTAGCCAGGCTTGGTAGCATGTGCCTGTAGTTCTAGCTACTTGGAAGGCTGAGATGGAAGAATCACCTGAGCCTAGTAGATCAAGGTTGCAGTGGCTGTGAGCATACCACTGCAATCCAGCCTAGGCGACAGAGTGAGAAAGGGTGAGAAAACACCAAGTTATACCTGTTTCATTGACAATGTAGCCTGGTGATTTTATAGAAAATGTAGCCTGAGTTTTATAGAAACTATACTCTTGGCCGAGCACAGTGGCTCAGCCAGTAATTCCAGCACTTTGGGAGGCCAAGGAGAGTAGATTGCCTGGGCCCATGGGTTCATGACCAGCCCACGCAATTCGGCAAGACTTTGTCTCTACAATAAATAAAAAATTAGCTGGGCAGGGTAACGCATGCCGGTACTTCCAGCTACTTGGAAGGATCGCCTGAGTCCAGCAGATTGAGGCTGCGGTGGCTGTGAGCATGCCACTGCACTCCAGCCTGGGCAACAGAGTGAGACTCCAACTCAAAAAAAAAAAAGAAACTATACTCTTAGTTGACAACCAGTAACCACTTTTAAGAGGGAGACTTCGAAGTCACACAAATTTGGGAACATATCCCAAATAGGCGACTTTACAACCTATGGAAATATGGCAAGTAACTTAACCTTTCCAAACTTTCAATGGCTATGCTATAAAAGCACAGCTTCCTTGAAGATTACATAAAATAATCTATGTAACGTACATCCATCATTCTTCAAATGTGCTCATCATTCAATAAGTCATGAGAGAGCAGTTCCAGTTAAGATGGAGTACACTCACTCTACCCTGCTTCTGAATACACCTGAATACAACTAAAACCGTAGGACAGAATTCATGGAGTGGCTTTATAGGAGGACACCAAAAAGTAACTGGCTGGGGAAAGAAGTTCACTCAAAATACCATCAATCCAGCAGTGAGTTTCTCAGTTTTCTTTCCTCTGATCTCTCCTACCCTGAACTCAAAGATAGTCCAAAACTCAGAACTGTGCACTAGAGTATGGACAGAAAAAGTTTCAGGAGAAACTCTCTCTATGTTTACCCAAACAAAAAGATAGTGGACCCCCATGGAAGAGAGAGTTAGGGAAGTTCCCTATTTCTTTTTGGTTTGTTTTTCCACTCCCTCCCATCCCAACCCTCAGGCAATCCTACAGCCACTGTGGTGGCAATGGCAGCCAAGCAGGTAAAACTTGGAGGGAGGGCAACTCCTCTCTAGCCAGAGGAACTGAAGTGCCAAGAGTGTCATGAGCCTCCTCACTGCCATTTTCTTCTCTGTCTTCTTGCTGCTCGGTCCTGGAGGTACATCATCATGAAGTGTACAACAGAAAGGGAAAATTAAAGGCCTGGCTTTCTAGTCAGAGGAAAAGGAAGGGAAATGAACCTCTAGGAGCCAGAAAGTAGAGGGGAAATTGCAAAGAGGGGGGAATGGGAGAAAACAATCACATAAAATTGTATATTAACACCTGAGCTGGCAGGACTCAGTGGCTCAGCCTGTAATCCCATCACTTTGGGAGCCCATGGGTTCTAGACACGCCCGGGCAACTTGATGAGACCTCGTCTCTACAATAAATCAAAAATTAGCCAGGCTTGGTAGAGCACGCCTGTAGTTCAGGCTACTTGGAAGGCTGAGGAAGAATGATTGTTGGAACCCAGCAGGTCAACACTGGGGTGGCCATGAGTGTGCCACTGCACTCCATGCTGGGCTATGCAGTGAGACTCCAACTCAAAAAAACCCAAAAACTCCTGGGCTTACCTTCAGGCAATCCATATGCAGAAGTTTAATCCTAAACATCATACTAACATTCCTGAGAACTAAATCACAGGAAAAGACTAAGGTCTAGGCCCCAGCTGGTCATTGGATATTGTACAAAAGAGACAGATACAAATAGCACTGTAAAGTTTTTGAAAACTAAATTGACATTTAAAACAATTGTGACTGGATATGGTGGCTCACACCTATAATTCCAGCACTGTGGTAGGCTGAGGCAGGATTGCCTGAGCCCACAGTTTTGAGACTAGTCTGGACAACTTGGTGAGTCCTCAATAAATTTTTAAAAATTAGCTGGATGTATTGGCGCATGCCTGTAGTTCCAGCTACTAGTGCCTGTAGTTCCAGCTACTAGGAAGGTTGAGGCTGAAGGACTGCCTGAGCCAAACAGGTCGAGGCTGTGGTGACTGTGAGCAGCATACCACTGCACTCTAGCCTGGGCGACAAAGTGAGACTCCAACTCAAAAAAAAAAAAAAAAGAAAGAAAGAACCATAGTTCACAGAAGTCAGGTAGGGAAACTGATACTGGAACCTAACCAGATTGATTAACTACTGAAAAAAGAATAATCTCCACAGGATTTAAACAAGACTGAAAATCTCATAGCATAATATTAAAAATCACCAGTATACAGTCCAAAATTGACAAATGAGGAACAAAGAAAATCTCAATCTTTGGCAAAGAGAAAGACAATCAAGTAATGCCAAACCCTAAATAACACAGATGTGAATTCTCTAACCAAGACTTTTTTTTTTGAGTTGGAATCTCACTCTGTCACCTAGACTGTAGTGCAGTGGTCGCTTCCGGCCACTGCAGCCTCGACCTGCTGGGCTCCGGCAATCCTTCCGCCTCAGCCTTCCAAGTAGCTGGAACTACAAGCGCGCACTACCACGCCCAGCTCATTTTGATTTATTGTAGAGATGAGGTCTCGCCAAGTTGCCCAGGCAGCTCTCAAACCCGCCGGCTCAGGCAATCCACTCACCTCAACCTCCCAAAGGCGCGGTATTACAGGCTGAGCCACTGAGCCCGGCTCTAACCAAGACTTTAAAGTCACTATTATAACCATGCTCCAAGAAATAAAGATAAACACTCTTGAAATGTATAGAAAGTTTTTTTTTTTTTTTAGTGGAGTCTCACTCTGTAGCTTGGGCTGGAGTGCAGTAGCATGCTACTCACAGCCACTGCAGTCTCAACCTGCTGGGCTCCGGTGATCCTTCCGCCTCAGCCTTCCAAGTAGCCGGAACTACAGGCATGCAATCATGCCCAGCTATCTTGATTTATTGTAAAGATGAGGTCTCACCAAGTTGCCCAGGCTGGTCTGGAACCCCTGGGCTTAGGCAATCCTCTCACCTCGGTCTCCCAAATTCCTGGGATTATAGGTGTGAGCCACCGTGTCCAGTCGAGTAGAAAGATTAAAAAGCATTATAGAGAAATAGAACATTTTAAAAATGGAAATTATAAAATGGAAAAAAACAGTAACCAAAATAAAAATTCAGTGAATGGGTGCAGAATTGAAATGACTGACAAAAATCAGTAAACTTGCATATAAATCAATATAAATTATTCAATCTGAACACTAGAGAGAAAAATCAAAAACTTAGCTGGGTATGGTGGCAGGTGACTATAGTCCCATTTTCTTGGGAGGCTGAGGCAGAAGGAGCACCTGAACCCAGCAGACTGAGGCTGTGGTGGCTGAGAATGTGTCACTGTACTTCAGCCTAGGTGACAAAATGAGACTTCAACTCAAAAAAAAAAAAAAAATCTAGCTGAAAGGTGAGCCTGAATCTTTGAAAAACTGATTCCTTTAATTTATTATTCATCCTTCTGATGTTCACTCTTCCTTTTGAGTCTTTTTTTTTTTTTTTTTTTTTTGAGTTGGAGTCTCACTATGTCACCCAGGCTGGAGGGCATCCTGGTCACCGCAGCCTTGACCTGCTGGGTTCAGGTGATCCTTTCACCTCAGCCTTCCAAGTACCTGGAAGTACAGGCACGCACCACCACACCCAGCTAATTTTTTGATGAATTGTAGAGATGAGGTCTCGCCAAGTTGCCAAGTTGTCTTGAACCCGTGAGCTCAGGCTATTCTCTCACTTCAGCATCCCAAAGTGCTGGGATTATAGGCATAAGTCACAGCACCCGGCCCCGTTCCAACCTTCCAGTGCTCCTCCTCTTTCTACCTCCCTCCATATCTTGTCTTTATTCTATCTTAACTGATCACATTTTTCTCTTTTTTTGGGGGGGGTTGGAGTCTCACTCTGTCGCCCAGACTGGAGTGCAGTGGCCGCTCCCAGCCACCGCATCCTCGACCTGCTGGGCTCCGGCGATCCTGCCACCTCAGCCTTCCGAGTAACCAGAATTACAGGCATGCACTACCACGCCCGGCTGATTTTTTGATTTATTGTAGAGATGAGGTCTCGCTGCCCAGGTGGGTCTTGAACCCGCGGGCTCAGGCAATCCACTCATCTCAGCCTCCCAAAGGCATGGGATTACAGGCTTAGCCACCGAGCCCGGCTCTGTTTTTCATTTTTAAAAAATTGAGTAAACTGAATATATTTCTCTTTTAAAATTGTAACATTCTTTCAAATTATTAACAATTGGTTTTTACTTGGGAATGATTTTCAAAATCAATACTCCCCTCTTCACCCCAGTTGTTCAGAGGTTCTGAAGAAGATGGGAAAAGTTTTCACGCCCCTGATCAAGCAAGGAAGCAAATCCTTCCCCTTAATGGTGAAATAACTTTCAATAGTTTATATTATGAAGATGAAGCTTTATCTAGTGAAGATTCTTTTTAAAGATTAATCCAAACGTGAAATTATATTTATTTATTTTGCTTGTTTAAAAAATTTTGTGGTTTCTCTTCAGAATGAATAAATTTTTCACCTTTTAAAAATGTTTGAACTTTGGGAGGCTGAGGTGAGTGGATTGCCTGAACCCGCGGGTTCGAGACCCACCTGGGCAGTGAGACCTCATCTCTACAATAAATCAAAAAATCAGCCGGGCGTGGTAGCGCGCACCTGTAGTTCCATCTACTTGGAAGGCTGAGGCGGAAGGATCGCCGGAGCCCAGCAGGTCGAGGCTGTGGTGGCCAGGAGCAGCCACTGCACTCCAGTCTGGGTGACCGAGTGAGACTCCAACTCAAAAAAAAAAAAATGTTTGAAAGTACACATAGCAATTTTGCAGAAAGGCATTCATTTTAGCCATATAAATGGGGCTACCCATACCTGTTTTGAAACCAACACCTTTATGTGCAACAAGTAGATAGGTACAAATCAGTCATCTAAGAGAGATATTTAAGGTAACTGGCAAATAGTTCATGTCACATAGACACAGTCATTTACATTCACTCAAAGGTGATAATCAGGAATCAAACTGAGCACTAGAAGAAAGAGAGGTTAAGAGGGAGAACAGGCTTGAGAGACTGTATTAAACAATAGTAAGAAAAAGCTTAGCTAAATTTGCCTGTGGGTTTGCAATACTAGAAAAAGTTTGGTGACTAAGAATTCGTCTACAAACAGAAACTGAGCCAGTTCATCATATAAAAAGGTAACTTTCGACAGAACCAAAATAGAAAAGATGTTTTACGGTTATTTCCACTGCCATCTTCATGTTTTCCTCTACTGTCCATTCCATCATCATCTTCGGAGTTTTCAAGTTCCTGAATAACCATCCTTCTCCCTTTGGTTTGAGTCTTAGATGTAGCTTCAGAATTTTTTAAATCCCTTTCAACCTCTGACAAGGTTTTCTGAAACATAATTATCATATTAAAGAAAATGTTTTCCTTTAATAAGAAATATACTCATTCTTTGGGGTAAAAAAAGGCATTTTAAAAATAAGATGGCTCAGTGAATCAGTCTGTAATCCCAGCACTTTGAGAGGCTGAGGCGAGTGGATTGCCTGAGCCCTCAGGTTCAAGACCAGCCTGGGCAACTTGGAGAGTCCTCCTCTCTACAATAAATCAAAAATTAGCTGGGTATGGTAGTGAGCATCTGTAGTTCTGGCTACTTGGAAGGCTGAGGCGGAAGGAACGCAGGAGTGCAGCAGGTCGATACTGGAGTGGCTGTGAGTGTGCCACTGCACTCCAGCCTGGGCAAGGGAGTGAGACTCCAACTCAAATAAATAAATAAATAAATAAATAAGTAAATAAGTAAACCTAAGACAAAGTTTTTTTGGTGGTCAATTTTTTATTTTTATTTTTCAAAACAACTTCATTGCCTTCTCTGATTGTAATCCTACACATCCATTGTTAAAAACAAAACAGGCCGGGCTCGGTGGCTCAGCCTGTAATCCCAGTGCTTTGGGAAGCCGAGGTAAGTGGACTGCCTGAGCCCGTGGGTTGGAAACCAGCCTGGGCAACTTGACGAGACCTCATCTCTACAATAAATCAAAAAATGAGCTGGGCGTGGTGGCACGTGCCTGTAGTTCCAGCTACTTGGAAGGCTGAGGCAGAAGGATCGCCAAAGCCCAGCAGGTCAACACTAAGGTGGCCATGAATGTGCCACTGGACTCTAGCCTGGGCGACAGAGTGAGATTCCAACTCAAAAACACACAAACAAAAAAAAACAGTACCAAGTATAAAAAAGAAAGGAAAAAAAATCACCTGAAATCATGCCACTCAGATTATACTAACATTTTGATGATCATCTTCCTGAATATGCTTGTATGCATATATACCCAGAGATGAATAGTTTTACACAGATGAAACATACTATACATGCTGTTTTTTGTTTTGTTTTGTTTTTTGAATTGGAGTCTCACTCTGTCACCCAGGCTTGGAGTGCAGTGGCACACTCTCGGCCACCGCAGCAGCTGACCCGCTGGGCTCCGGCGATCCTTCCACCTCAGCCTTCCAAGTAGCTGGAACTATAGGCGTGTGCTACCACACCTGGCTAATTTTTTTTCTATCTGCTGTAGAGACAAGGTCTTGCCAAATTGCCCAGGCTGGCCTCGAACCAGTGGGCTCAGGGAATCCCCTCACCTCGGCCTCCCAAAGTGCTGGGATTACAGGCTGAGCCACCAAGCCCAGCCAATACATGCTGTTTTTTGAAATAGTGTTAATATTCCTGAAATATTTTATGCCAATTTAAATGAAAAAATATATATGTATATAAATCTCAAACTATTTCCTTTATCCTCTCATTTTTAATAGCTTTACTGAGGTATAACTGATATAAACTGCTTATTGCCCTCCCCACAACTACTGTTCCTTTTGTCATCATGGTGGATTAGTTTGCATTTTCTAGGATTTCATATAAATAGAATCATATTGTATGCACCCTTTTTGCCTGACTTGTTTAACTCGGCATAATTATTTTGAAATTCATCCATGCTGTTGTGTGTATCACTAGTATTGCTGAGTAGTATTCTTTTTTTTTGAGTTGGAGTCTCACTCTGTTGCCCAGACTGGAGTGCAGTGGCCGCTCCCGGCCACCGCAGCCTCAACCTGCTGGGCTCCGGCGATCCTTCCGCTTCAGCCTTCCGAGTAGCTGGAATTACAGGCATGCACTACCATGCCCGGCTGATTTTTTGATTTATTGTAGAGATGAGGGTCTCGAACCCGGGGGGCTCAGGCAATCCACTCACCTCAGCCTCCCAAAGCGCGGGATTACAGGTTGAGCCACTGAGCCCAGTGTACTTTGCTTATTTTTAATTTGGCTGTTTGTTTACTTGTTATTGAGATTTTTTCCTTTTCTTTTTTTTGAGTCTGAGTCTTACTCTGTTGCCCAGGCTGGAGGGCAGTGGCACGATAACAGCTCACTCCTGGGCTCAGGGGATCCTTCCACCTCAGCCTCCCCAGTACCTGGGGCTATAGGTGCATACCACCATGACCAGCAATTTAAAAAAATTTTTGAACAGGCAAGGTTTTACTATGTTGTCCAGGCTGGTCTTGAACTCCTAGCCTGAAACAATCCTCTGGCCTGAGCCTCCTAAAACACTGGGATTAGAGATGTCAGCCAAGGTTCATACTATTAACTTTTTAATACATATAACCATTTAAAAAGGAATAGATCCTCCCAGGAGCCTGCCTCACATATGTACACTATGGCTCTATGCTTGTCATCATGGTGACATGGTACCTTAAAAAAATAAAATTAAATAGGCCCAGTGTGGTAGCTCATGCCTGCAATCCCAGCACTTTGGGAGGCTGAGGCAAGAGGATCGCCTGAGCCCAGGAGGTTAAGGCTGTGGGGAGTCATAATTGTGCCACTCCAGCCTGAGTGCAGCGTGAGACTCCAACTCAAAAAAAATTAAATTAATTTAATTAATATTTTAAAGAAGGAAATATTATGGAGAAAAGATGTGTTCTTTTTTTTTTTTTGAGTTGGAGTCTCACTCTGTCGCCCAGACTAGAGTGCAGTGGCCGCTCCCGGCCACCGCAGCCTCGCCTGCTGGTCTCCGGCGATCCTTCCGCCTCAGCCTTCCAAGTAGCCGGAATTACAGGCATGCGCTACCAATGCCCGGCTGATTTTTTATTTATTGTAGAGATGAGGTCTTGCTGCCCAGGCGGGTCTCAAACCCACGGGCTCAGGCAATCCACTCACCTTAGCCTCCCAAAGGCGTGGGATTACAGGCTGAGCCACCGAGCCCAGCTAAAAGATGTGTTCTGCAAGCAGACCCCAAGCTGAATCCATGGAAATGCTGACTTGACGAAAGCAGCCAATGCTCTAGGGTCATCAGCTATCACTCAGAGAAAGTGGGAAGCATAACCCAATAGGAGTATGTGGAAACCTAGTCACAATTTATTGTTGGAAGACAATTCTCCATGGGTTTCTCCCATTTCCAACTATACTGTGATCAGAGACACTAAACCACTTCCATTATTGAAAGAACAAAAGATAGCTAAAGAGCAGCCATTTTAACAATCCTTAGCTTTGTCATGTTTTTCTAGCAGTTCACTTTAACTTACCCTCTAATCAGGATAGAATCAGTTTCTCAGAGGTAGCTATTGAAAATCATTTTACAACCCCTCTCCAGCTTGTTTTATATTAATTAGTTTTTTTTTTTTGAGTAGGAGTCTCACTCTGTTGCTCAGGTTGGAGTGCAGTGGTACGCTCACAGCCACCACAGATTTGACCTGCTGGGCCAAGGTGATCCTTCTGCCTCGGCCTTCCCAAGTAGCTGGAACTACAGGCATGCACCAGCACACCCAGCTAATTTTTTGACTTATTGTACAGATGAGGTCTCCCTAAGATGCCTAGGTTGGTCTTGAAACCATGGAATCAGACAATCCTCTCATTAGGCCTCTCAAAGTGCTCGGATAATAGCTGTGAGCCCCCATGTCTGGCCAATTAGCTTTTCTATTCCAAGTATTTACCTCCAGCCAGAAGAAACCAAATTAACCTAATCAGCCCTTCATGACCTTCCTGACAGAACTTATCAACCTAGCCACAATCATGTGACTAGCCCACCCATCTGCCTGCCATTCAACACCTGACTTCAGTACCTGTGCTTACCTGCCCCTTTTTGATGATGTGAAACAGACCACCACCCAATCACCTTAACGACTTACCCCATCAAAGGAAACATTTAAAAGGCATTAAGGCCAGGCTTGGTGGCTCAGCCTGTAATCCTAGCACTTTGGGAGACCGAGGTGAGTGGGTTGCCTGAGCCTGTGGGTTCCAGGTCAGCCCGGGCAACTTGGTGAGACCTCATCTCTACAATAAAATAAAAATAGTCAGGCGTGGTAGCACACATCTGTAGCTCTAGCTACGCTGAAGGCTGAGGCGGAAGGATCGCCAGAGCCCAGCAGGTTGATGCTGGGGTGGCCGTGAGCATGCGTGCCACTGCACTCCAGCCTGGGCAAAGAAGTGAGACTCCAACTAAAAAAAAAAAAAGGGGGCATTCAACCTCAAACAGCAGCTTTCTTTTGTTAAGCCCTGGCCCAGCCTTGTTGAGTTTTGGCTGGGCCATGTTTTCCTAGCTTTGGTCCCCTCCCCTAACTTGGGAAGGTGAATCTCCTCTCTCTTTCTAATTTACTTTCTAAATAAACTGTATTTTCCAATCTAACCTCTGTGCAATTCTTTGCATCTTTTGTGTGGCAACAGATTACAGACACCAGAGCCCTGCAGATCTGACCTAACATTTTGGAGGTCCTGCTGTGATTCTGACCTAACAATTATGGACATCTTTAAGGATGCTTATACTAAGAACAGTCTTGGAAAACAGAAATAGCACTAACCTGCAGAAAGGACAGTGAAAATGATGTTTCCCTTTGGAAAAGAGGTCAGGCAAGTTGCAGAGGTCCTCAAACTTTTAAAACGGGGCCAGTTCAGTGTCCCTCAGACCGCCCCTCTAACGGTCTGAGGGACACTGAATTGGCCCCCTGTTTTAAAAGTTTGAGGACCCCTTTTAATAAAAGTTTGAGGATCCAAAATTTAGGAACCCTTATCATAAAAGATGGAGGGTTCCTAAATTTTGGATTTGTCAACTGTCACACAAAACCACTGAAGGTCCAGTGTCCATCTGGGCCACTGTGTCGCTCCTGTGGGACTCCAGAACAAGGGAAACTGACAGCCACATGAAGCTCATCTATGTGATATGCTGTGATATTGTAAAATCTATTTGGTCTTCCTCCTGATTCCTGTCAAACAACTTCTAAAACCCTTGGAATCTCGGAAGTAGTGTCTTTTTTTTAAATTTATTTTTATTTATTTATTTTTGAGTTGGAGTCTCACTCTGTCACCCATACTGGAGTCAGTGGCTGCTCCCAGCCACCGCAGCCTCGACCTGCTGGGTTCCGGCGAA